CTATTGGAAAATGCGGATGGAATATTTTATTCAATCAATTGATTTTGATTTATGGTTGAATATACTACACGGGCCATTTGTGCCGAGTAATGGTGATTTTGCAGGTTTGTCTTCGGAAGACAAGAGAAAGCTATCAATGAATGCAAAAGCAATTAACATTTTGCATTGCTCTCTTGGTCCCGACGAATTCGCACGTGTTTGCTCTTGCAAAACGGCTAAAGAGATGTGGGATCTACTCCAAGCTACACATGAAGGAGACACCTCAACAAAACAAACCATGCTAGCCCTCGGGAATTCGGAATACGAATCTTTCATGAAAGGGTCATGTGAGACAATCCAAGACATTAACAAGAGGTTCAACGAGATTGTCAACAAATTGGGTAAGTTGGGTAAGACGTATACTACTTCCGAGCTTAATACAAAAATTCTATTTTCTTTGCCTAAAGAATGGCATAGTAGTATCGTAGATTTATTACCCAAATGTGATAAGGCCGAAACCGCCCACATTTGGTCTTCCTTATATTCTCACGAGCTTTTGTTGAGAAAGATCAAAGAGGAAGAAATGTGTGACAATCCCAAGCTTAACAATGCCTTCAAAGCTTCAAAAGACTCATCTAGTGAAGAGTCAAATGAATCAAGTGATGATTCAAGCGACTCAAGCTCTACGGAAGAGTCGGAAGATGAAGAAGACGAAGAGAAGGCAATGAGAAATAAGTATACGGATTTCCTCAAATGGAAGAAGTATGTGAAGAGGAAAGAAACGTATAAAAAGCCAAATAAAGAGCGACATAAGCCAAGGTAAATTCTTCTCACTTATTGGGATAAGATATTGTTTTGTTTGGTTTTAATTATTTTTAAAAATAAAACCTTATCCCATACGTGCTTTTATTTAGTTTAGCCTTGGTTTGCATGATTAATTTTTTTTTTTTAAAAAAAATTCATCTTTATATCATATTTTTTTTTAAAAAAATAATCCCTAAAAATCCCTGAAAAAAATTAAAGTTTTTAAACTTGCATCATTTTAGGAGTTTTCATTTTTAGAGGAAGTTTCGTTGTAAATGCACCTTTTGCCCAATGATCTCAAAACTATCATTTTTCCTAAAAATTCATTTTGATATGGGAGGGTTTCAAGAAGTTATATATGGTTAAAATTTTCAAAATACCCTTTTTGATTTTGACAAAAGGGGGAGAAGATGTATACTTCAAAGTGGTGCATATGCAACTTGACTTGAGTGTATTCTTGTGTAAATTTTTGCATCAAACTTAAACTTTTAATTAACACAAGAAAAATTTCAAAGTAAGTATTTTCAATATGCTTATTCTTAGGGGGAGCTTGCTTGCTTCATTATTTTACTCCCGTCTAACTCACTTTGAAGTATATTGTTTGTCAACATCAAAAAGGGGGAGATTGTTAGGCTTGGTTTGCTAAACCTCATGTTTTGATGTTAACAAACAATATAAGAGCTTAACGTTTGTTTAAGTGTTTCAGGAAAACAAGAATCCATTAAGATTCGGTACTCAACAATGAAGTCGAAACACTAAACTAGCGTAGAATATAGGTAGAAACCAATGTAAGGATATGACTTTATATACCTATATTCACAAGCTCAAAAGCAGTCACAAAATATGTTTAAAACCATCACATAAACACTTTCAAATATCTAAAAGGTTTTAAACTCAAACACGAAAGATTAAGGGAATTTTGGAAAAATCAGAACAGAGTCACGGTACCCCTAGCGGTACGCCACACGGTAGGGTATACCACCTACACGGTACCCCCATACCGTGTAACGGTACCTAGGTACCGACGGTAGGCGTAGACGGTTGGCCGAACCCGTCCTAACCAGGTACCGCCAGAGGCGAACTGAACTTTTGGAAGACACGGTACTCCCACACGGTAGGCCGTACCGTGTCACGGTACCTAGGTACCGGATGACACGGACCCCCCTACCGTGAAGGATACCGGATCCGTTACAGCACTGTAGCAAAATTGCCAATTTGAATTAAATCAACCCTAATCACCTCCCAACGGCTAGTTAACATCTTCCACTATAAATACAAGCCTAATCTTTCATATCTCTTCAAGAAAAGAAGCTCTAAACATCCTCCCTTTATAATCTAAGTGTGTTCATTCTTTTATTAATTATTTTCAATATTTTGGCTGTTTCAAGAGCCCTAAATTCCTGATTTTTATACACACACTTTGAGCTTGTGTTTCTAGTTATATACTCTCATATTCATAAGTTTGAATTGTATTTTTGAGAGAGTATACTTTCTTTCTACACCGGCTAAGTTTTGTTCTTCATTTTTATATTCTAGCCGTTGTGTAGAATCCTCTTTTGTGTTTTTCAAACACTTCTTTATACGGTCGAGAATAGCCGTTAAATTCTCATATTGTATCGGTCGAGGATAGCCGTATAAATCCTTGGGTAAAGGTTCAAGGATAGCCTTTGAAATCCTTGGGGGAACGGTAGAAGATAGCCGTTAAATCTTCGTTGTAAACGGTTCGAGATAGCCGTGGTGAAATCTCGGAGTGAATCCT